TTCCGCCACGGCACGGTGGAATAAATTTCTGGAATTCGTTAATTGTAGTGTCTGTAGTCCGGAAAGTGGTCGGTTGCCAAGTGGGATCGTCCCGGCGGCATTGTCGGACAAAGAGAGGGAAGGGGGAGGAAAGTGTCTTTCCCTTGTTTCTTCGTCAATTCGAGCCCGAGATCTCGAAATTCGAAGTTAAAAAGCGAATGAAAGCTTGCTTGCTTGCTTGCTTATAGAGAAGGCTGTTGACCTCCTTGGCGAGGGGTTGCGTTTTAAATGGCCCCCGACACCGGAGATCCCCTTCTCCTATTCGTCGAGCGGGCCAAATTGCTCGCTGTCGAGTTTTAAGAAGGGCAAATATTTCTCGTCGCGAGCGAGCTTGTTTGTCGATCGCGATATCCCTTTTCCCTCGGCTTTTTATTTTATATCCTACAGCCTCCCCCCGCGCGCGCCACGATTTTTCAACGACGGTGTGTCGCAACCTCCTTTCCTGCTTTTCCTCCTGGAGGATAGAATTCCTGCGGCGTCAAGTTGGCGACGGATCCACTCTGAAACACGATAGCCGCCTCTCATCCGGCTTCCCGCCGTCCCGGATATCCTTGCGCGTCGGCCAATCTTTCGAAATCCGCAACGACAAATTTGCAACGAAGATTTACACTGGCTTTAGCATCGTGATGACGGTCCTCGAATTAAACTCTCTCTCTCTCTCTCTGTTTTTTTCTTTTTTCATCCGAATTTAAAATTTTCAACGTCTCTCTCTTAGCTCGAGTAAAGAGTTATTTCAAATCATTGTTCAAAAGGGGATGATAATTAAAAACGGGTAAGTTAAGAGGAACAATCGAAATTATCGCAAGAGAATCAACCTAATAATAGCTATTTTGTATAAAATTATTTCTCGAAAGTAATTATTATAAATAAAAATTATAAAATATCCTTTTTGTTAAACGATAAAATTTACGCGTAAAAATAATTGGAATCGAAGAAAATAAAATCTCAAAGTAAGCTCAAAATTCTCGAATCCCCGAGAGACCAGCCTTCCATCACATGCGCGATCCGATTTCCATCGCAAAAATCCTCGTCGATCGTCGGTCGATCGAGGATAGCGAGGAACCGTTTAATCGTTGGCCGAGCAAACAAAAACACGGCCGCCTGATTCCGTATGGATGAACCGCGTTTAAGCCGTGTCGGATTAAGGGGCGACGATCGAAAAGCTCGAGGAAAGCTTCCGGTTTCCCCCTCTTCGGATTCCCCCGCGAAAGAAACACGGTAATATCTTTTAGGGAGAGGGAAGCCAGCTCGTCCATCGCCTCTGGGATAAAGTTGTCGCTTGTTGTTGGAAAATCACGGGAATCGCGAAAGAGGGGAAGGAAGAGGCGCCGAGACGTCTCGACGCCGGTTTACCGCTGCTTTATCGGCGTCTTCTCACTTCTCTCGTCACCGACCTTCTCCTCTCTCTCTCTCTCTCTCTCCTCTCTCGTATATTTCTCTATCGATCGTATTTCCGTGGTGGCCAGTTACGAGCCACTTTGCTAGAACCGTTTCCTAGCCAGACGCCAGATAAGCGACGCCGATGGACCCCGCGTAGGAGGAATCTGAATTTTTTTCGTGGAAATGTCGTTGGAACGAGCTGGAAAAGGAGATTATATGGAGGGATGATGGGTATATTTTACTTACAAGGTCGATGCGAATTGATATAAATTCGTGGGAAAGGGAAGGTTCAAGGTTTAATTGTACTCGCGAATACAAGTTACTTTAATGTTCGGAAAATATGTGACTGGTGGAGCCGTTATTTTCCACCACATCGACAAATCTGAAGCTATATAGCCGCCATTTGGTTAAGGAATCTTGGAATCTCCTCTTCGAGAAGGAGGTTGGGTTGTTTATGGGATGTTTGCTCGTGTTATGGAAACCCGGAGGGGGAAATGTTTCGCCGGGCCCGGTTCGCAAATGGAACGGCGTATGAGATGGCGTGATCCGTCTAACAATTCCATTTCCTTGGCGCCAAACCGTAGACATTAACGCGTTCTAGGAAGGGAATAGAACTTCCGTCACAGGAATCGAGAACGAGTGATTTAAATCCGTGGATATCGTTACATAACGTTGATTCTTCTTAATTTCGTTCCATCGATCACCTTAATCTTTATTCTTCTTCGATCCTCTCTTCATATATATTTACAAAGATTTCTCTCGATATCTCTTTTTCCTACTTTTAAAAGTATTTCTTCGGCATGGATATACAAACAAACAGTGTCGTGAAAGAGGCGAAGGATTTGATTGCTCGTTTCAAATACGATCTAAAAGTTCTAGAAATAAAATTATACAACATGGTTTATCGACGATACAACAGCGGGGCACTTTCTCGTTCATGATCCATAAAAGTTAAAATTTTAATTTTCTCTCTCTCATCCCATCGGTCTATCTTTTAAATTGCATCATCGAGATTCGTCTCGATCGAATAAATTTAAGAAGAATATACGACATCGAGCGAGAATTGGAAAAATTTCACGAACGCGTATATATCGTGGACGCCCTTAGAAGGTGCTCATCTGGAAAGGTGCAAGGCCACCCGAAAGTGGTCCAAGTATCAACCCGGTGACCCAGAGGTTTCCGTTAAATTATAGAGCGCGCTGACGCGGCGGTTTTCGCGCCGATAAGCATCGCCTCGTTACTAGCCATGCGCGTTCCCTCGTCCTCACACCGCCTCACACCACCACCACCCTTTCCCTCCTACGTTACGTGGCCCACGCGCGAGATTAAAATACCTGCGCCAACGAGGGCTCGAAATCGAGGACGACGACATCGAAAGTTGACGCGGCCCTCCCACGAGATCCGTATTTCATTTTAGAGAGGGGGTGGAGAAGAGGAGGGGAGGAGAAGGAGGAGAAAATGAAAAGAGGGAGACGATCCAAGGGTAATATTTCAAGCATAGGGGATCCCCCTCGACGACGATTAGTCGAACGATGGCATATCTTTCGAAAGATGTTTTCAGACCGAAAACGACCAACTTCTTCTTTGAGAGGAGAACACGCTTCGAATTTTTGCATGCGTGTGATTGAAACATGAAATGTTTGGAATATGGAAAATATATAAGTTTTTATAAGTTTAAGTATTTAGATCCTACTGGATTTACAATATTGTTTATTATATAGTACTGATCTATAGCAATAATTTAAGCTCTAGAAAATAAAATTCTGAAATAACTCTTGACTACAATTATGATCCATTAGCAACTGCAAATATGAAAAATATATGAGTTTAGATTCTATTAGATTTATAATATTGTTTATTGTATATAATATAATAGCAGTAATTTAAACTCTAGAGTAGAACATATGTCTAACATATGTTAATTCTTGGCTACCAGTGACATGATCCATCAGCAAATATGAAAAAAATTTAAGTTTAGATCCTACTGAACTTACAATATTGTTTATTGTCACATAATGATCTATACTAGTGATTTAAGCTCTAGAAAATAAAACAAATGATGGTAACTCTTGGCTACATGATCTATCATCAGGTGCAAATATGAGAAATATAAGTTTAGATCCTATTAGATTTATAATATTGTTTATTGTCACATATAGCACTAATAGCAATAATTTAAGCTCTAGAAAATGGAATTCTAACATAGCCTCTAACATCCATCATCAGATGCAAATATGAAAAATATAAGTTTAGATCTTATTAAATTTATAATATTGTTTATTGTCATATATAGCACTGATCTAATAGCAATGATTTAAGTTCTAGAAAATAGAATTCTAATATAGCTTCTAACACCATCATATATAACATTGATCTAATAGCAATGATTTAAACTCTAGAAAATGGAATTCTAACATAGCCTCTAATATCCATCATCAGATGCAAATTCCATTTTTGCACCTGTATTGAATTGGAAGCAAAGGGATGACAAGAAGCACTACTATATATTGTTGAGAAAACAAATCTAGGGATTATAAAACTACGTAAGAACGAGCAAAACTAAAAAATTTTCCATTACGTGCAAGGGAAACAGCACTGGGAGACGTGGCATAGGAGTTAAATTTGTATCGTATGCGATTTCTACAAGCCAAGGGAATAAAGATCTCGTATTTGCGAAGCAACCGTCACGAGTTCCATCGAAGAGATGTTCGAAGGAAAGAAGCACGAGCTCCACCGCTCGTTCCATGACATTTATTTCCATATCGGTCCACATCGAGTCGCCCGAAGGAAACCGGAAGGAAGAATCCCGTTGCTCCGTTATTTCCAAGCCTTCCCCGCCTCCTCGAAATTATTCCGTTCCTCCCTTTGGTTCCAGGCGACAAAAGTGTCTTCTCCTCTTCCTCGTCCGAATCGGGATATTTTTCCACCCCGACATCTCCGACATCCGTGGATGTTTGGGTCGAGATACAGTTTTATCGGAAACCAGATTTCTTCTGTCTAACGCCTCTAATAAACCGTGGAGGGGGGATTCTCGCGGGTTTACGCGGTCCAAGTGCGCCATTTCGATCCTCCGCCCCCTCCGTATATACGCGTGAGAGATATCTGAGAATCGAATCCAGCCTTTCGTAACGTTGTAAAGAGGGATATACACGAGCCGAGAGAAGCGTGTAACGATTATTACATCGAAACGCGGTTGCTCCTTAAAAAGAGATTTCACCACGTATGAATATATAAAGTCGAAAGGATCGTCGTTTCTTGCGTATCTTAAAGGGGACGATGTTTTTACGAATCGTCGTAAAAACATTGTACGCTCGTTCCGCGTGTAATTTCCTTATTACGCGACAAATATTTACCGACTGCCTCTTTCACGTCACGTAAAAAATTCATCGAAAGTGTTGTTTCTGTTTATTACATTATTGCGCGTTATGCACCGAGTGCATTTCAGAAGGATTTACAACATTTATATCTGCGATAAAATAAGATTAAAAAATTATGATATTTATTATACGGTGAATTATTATCCGTTTTTTTTTTCTTTCTTTCAATGAGAAGTGTTTCACAGTGAATTATTTCGATTCCAGGGCGTTCGATTATCGAGGGCGTTGATCGGCGAGCACCAAGATGGCAGCTTTCGTGGCGAAGCAGATGGTCGGCAACAAGCTGAACGCGGTTAAAGGTGAGCATTTTCTCAGAAATAGGTTTCAGGTCATTACTCCGTGTTCTGAAAATTTTCCTGTCGCGCCGTGTCCAATTTTCACGAGCAATTACCAATTATAGCCCATCGATCCTCGAGTTTTCGCGGAAGGATCGCTTTTCGAAAGCGGTTTTCGCCGAGTAGCCGATAAAAGGCGGAACAGAGAAGGAGAGATCGAGTATCGATTGCTATTGCTGCGTAACGGGGCCGAATGCAATTACAGTCCGCAGACTGACAGCCAATTTACTAATTTACGTGGCGCGGAAATCGTTGATCTCCGTTTAACGCGACCAAGAAACCGAATTAACCAAGACCCGCTCGATTCGAAAGCGATACGTTTCGTCGGTGTAGCAGTGAATAAAGCTTTTCCTTTTTTCTTTTTTTTTCTTTTAAATTCTCGCTGCTTTTCGTCGAAAATAACTGTCCGATAATTTTAAACTTTGGCAACTAACGAGAGAAACGTTGTTGCCAAAATTTCCTTGCTTCTCCTCGAAAGGAATTCGCATGATTGAAATTCGAAGAAAAAGAATTTATTTATTGCTTCGAAATAATAACTTTTCAATGGTAATATTCGAAACTGGTGTTTTGTCGATTCGAAAAATTATAACTCTTTGGATGAAGTTCTCTTCGTTTCCTCGTATTATACACCGAATGGAAATTTCGTTCCAAAAATGAATTCGCTTTAAAGAAAAAGTCAAAGTTAGAAAGGATCCGGAAGAAAATTCATATGTATATATATATACACGTAGGAACGAGTTCCATCGAGGGAGAATGGATGATGAATGCTCGAAAGATGAACAGGGGAGGACGATCGTATCGTATAGCCATCCGATGGTGATCACGACGATATTACCTCGATCGACGGAAAGTTTTCCTCGATATAAAGCGGCAGATATCGAACATACTTGGGCAGCGATCGTGACGAATTAATGGCGCGAACGTGAGACTGAGTGGGCGGCGCGGGGGGGGAGGGAGGGGTTTCATCGTGTCTTAATATATTTCTTCGGCGAGGGAGGGGAAGGGAGGGGGCATCGGTCTCTCGGCGCGGTAATTTAACACACGAATTAAGATTGATCGCCACGTACGGAACGTAAGGAAGGAAGGAAGGAAGAAAGCATTAGATCAAATGACGAAGCACCCGTGAGCTCCCCCGTGGACGAGAGAAGGCGGAGAAAAAGAAAGAAATGCCGCTTGTCGTGCTCTCGTTTCATTTTTTTTTTTTTGCCCCCCGATCCAAAGTTAAAAGAAATCCTCATCTTCCTCGACGAGAGGGAACGCAATACGCTTCGATCACACGCACAACAAGCTCGATAAAATAGAAACCAGTCGATCGATTTTAATAACTTTGTTGGGGCTCGATATTTTCCATCATACGCAGTTCCAGTTTCCAGAAGTTTGCGTTTCGGTGACCACTCTCGAGAGTTTTTCGCCACAGAGAGAGAGAGAGAGAGAGAGAGAGAGAAAGAGAGAGAGATCCGGAGATAGATGGACGCGCAGCTGCGGGTGAATGGCATCCCATACTTTCGTCCATATACGGAGGAGGGGGAGGTGTATCGAATCGCGAGATTAAAGCGGACGACCACAGAGCGGACAGGGGGATTGATTAAAGCATCGTCGAGGGCCATCCAAGGTTCTCTAAAACTCGGAGATGCGGCTTTTCACGTGTCGATCGATTACATCATTCGTGGGTAAATTGTGTTATCCAACACGATTGGATAATCGGCTCGCCAGCGCTAACCGTCGAACTCGAGTCCGGAGTGCGTGGTTAAATTAATTCGAATTTTAATCGAATACCTTCTCAAATTTTCGTACGTCTCTCTTCAGATTCGATGAGATGTATCTATTTCGAATCCCTTTCTCATCCCTCTTAGCATCCAATAGCAAACAGAAACGGACGACGAAAATTGAAAAACTGTCGATGAAAAATAAAATTCAAAGTGGATCGTCTGTAATCTTTCCTACTTTGAATTCCTCTCCACCGGTGGCAAGGTAAATCTTTGAGGTTACGCGGGGGATGATCCTCGCGGAAGATAACAAATTCCACGGTTGCCCTTAATTTTCCGCGGATTTTCCGCTTTGGGCAGCTTGGAAAACGCCATTTGGCGAACGGGGCTCACTTAATCATTGTTATTCGAGTTTAGAATTACAAGTTGGCTAGTTAGAGGGGGAATTGAAGAGGAGGCAACCCGCCTAGGCCGAGAGTCGACGCGTCGCCGGCTGGCTTGTCGGCTTTGCTGCCAGCTTGAACGATGGCCCGCAATAAAACTTGTGTCATTAAGGGAAAGTTTCAGCCCGAGCCGCGAGCCGAGAGGAGGGGGGCGGCAACCGTATCGCGAGGAATCCGTAATGGGAAACCTTCGTCAACCGAACCTCGACCTCGAATCTTTCTTCGTGGCCGACCTTAACTCGCTTCGATGCGATCGATCAATCCGTCCGTCCAACTACAACTCTTCCTCCTCCCCCTCCATCTCTCAGATATCGCCAACTCTTTGTCAATCGCAAGAAGAATCTTATATACAACAGTGTGTTACTAGTTTTATATTTATTATTCCACAACGAGGTCTTTAATATCGCATCCCGTGTCGATACTGCGAGTTCTTTCTACGTCTCTTCTACGTAGTAAGAACGTTTGAATTTTATTTTGCGTTATTATTATTTTTATATATTATTTTTACGAGGAATTTTTTAATATCATCCCTCGTTTCTTATTTTTTCTCAGTCGCAAAATTCTTCCTATATTATTTTGCAAATATTTCTTTTTAACATCTTGTCGTTTCCTTCTCGATACGAGTTCTTTTTTTGATACATATACGATCCAATTGTAAGAACGTTTGAACTTTATTTTATGTTATTATTATTTTTGTATATCATTTTTACAAGGAATTTTTTATCATCTTCTGTTTCTTGTTGTTAATTATATCATTATTTTGCAAGCACTTTTTTTCAATATCGTCGTTTTTTCCTCGATACGAATTCTTTTACATTTCCATGCATGCATCCACCATCAATTGCAAAGACGTTTGAATATTACTTTACGAGGACTTTTTTCTTCGATACGCTCCTTATATGCTACTTCTTTTACATCTCTTATTGTTAATTCGTTTCTTTTGTTATTCGTGCTTATTCATACAATGTCGATCCTTCCTACATTATTTTCCAAAGATCTTTTGTAACGTCGTCGTCGTCTTCCTTCTCGATATCGCGAATTTCTTTTACATTTTTCTTCTTTTCACATTCGTTTCTTATTCCACGTGCAATACAACGCAAAATTTCTCGTATATTATTTTTTACAAAATCATTTTGTAAAAATCAGCTCTTTTATTCTTCTGCTAGAATCCCCATTTTCATCGTATCATCGAGAGGAAACATTCAAAAAAAAAAAAAAAAAAAAGAAAGTAAAGTTTACGCGAGAAACATTTAGGAGGATCGATTCTTTCTTTCGAATCCTCGAATAATCGCTTCCCTCGCCAATTATCACGGTTTGTCCATCGCGATGTAGAGCAATCGAGAGAGAGAGAGAGGAGAGGAAGAGAAGGGAGGTCGGAAGTTCCAAGTGGCGGAAACCCTCGGCGGTTTGTTCGGGGGTGGGGCGGGGGTTTAACGGGAAATGCGGTGGGAAACTTTCGTCAAGCTTCAAAGAGTGGACGAATCGAATGGCAATTAGTTTTGGTATGACCTGAATATAGAGAATGGAGAATGAAACGAGCGTGTATATATATATATGTGTGTGAAAGAAACGGCGAACATAGGGGATGAAAAAGAGAGGTTGTAAAAAAGGGATGATCGGATGTCATCGAAAACGACGAGAGAGAGAGAGAGAGAAAGAGAGAGGTGATGAGGTTGCAAGAAATATATAGAAAGAAAAGAGGGATGAAGTGAGAGATAGGTGAGAGATTAGAGTGTATCGATAGGAAAGGAAAAAAGAAAGAAAAGAGAGGGGGAAAAAAAAAATTCGGTAAGAAAAGAATAGACAAGCGATACGAGGATTGAACGTAGAGTGGAGGAGAGAGGGGGGAGACCACCACGAAGATTCACCGGTGACACATATAAATACCGAGTTGGCCTCCTTTCACACCCCTCCTCCGGACACTGGAGCATCCAAACTGCAGTTTTTCCTCGGTCACTCGGTTAATTGAAATCCCGTGGATCGATCGACCGCGACCTACGCCACTGTGCGGTTGCACTGTTCCGAAGTCGACCGAATGGCTTTTGGTCTTCGACGACAGGGACATGGCTTCTCTTCCATATACTATATGTGTATATATGTTCCTCCAAATGCATTTTTCCCATTGAATTGGCAAAAGTCGATAGGGAAATAACTCTTTTTTTTCTTCTTCTTCTTATTCCAATTGTTTGAATTGTTTCTATTTCGAACGTATCTCGAAAACGGCGAATCGGAAAAGTAGGTCTCTTATTAATTTATCGGATTATTAAAATTTTATAGTTTTTTATTCCGCGATTTTTCTGATCCTGAACAATTTGTTGAAAAAGTTTTACAAGTATCGCTTCCTTTTTTCGAATTGCTCGAATTTCCATTATCATATACATACACTTAGATAGAGACGTGAGTCGCAAATATCCTGCGCTCCCACTTTCTCGATCCGCAAATTCGACTCAAGGATTATTCATCGATCAATGTGTACATTTTAAATTTTTATATAATTCTTTCACTATTTCGTTTCTTCTTTCACTATTTTCGACAAAATAATAATAACTTTTACTTTACCAAAAGTCATATGATAAAATAATAATAATAATAATAATAATAATAATGGAAGTAAAGGATAAATCGTTGAAATTTCTACAATTTCTACAATCTTACATTTTTTTGCGCCGATGATCCTCACTTTACGCAATAGAGAAAAGGAAACGATAGATAATACGATAGAAATTTGTAGAAATATCGGGCGTCACTTCCTCCCTGGATATCCGTCGCCGGAAAATTTGACGTTTCTACTGGAAATCTCCCTATTTCACAGTGT